AGGTATCTCATTCATATATAATATCCTTCAACATCGTCACCAAGGAAAATTACCAACGATGCATAAATGGGAATGAGACATTGGGAAACAATTCAAGATTCAACAATGGCAAACAGCAGGTAACTGGACTAGGAAAACTACCAGATGCATTAACCATTGGGAATCAGCCCAAAAGATATTACACAGATGGTACATAACTCTACATTTGGCAGCACGTTCATCCAACCGCTACTCCTCATTATGCTGGAGGAACTGTAACCAACAAGGATCCTTGTACCATATATGGTGGGAATGTCCACAAATTGCTCCATTCTGGTCAGATATCTTCACGTTTATAACATCAGTTACAAACTCCTCTCCAATTCCTGATCCAGCCCTGGTACTTTTGGGAATAGTTATAGACTCCTGGCCACCACAGTCCAGAACTGTACTAATGCATATTTTGATAGCGGCACGATTGAGTATTGCCAGGCTTTGGAAACAAACTACAACGCCATCCATTCACATAGTAACTGAAATCCTGAACAAAAACACAACCTTTGAAAAAACCTTTGCTCAAATACACAACTCATCTGCTAAATTCCGGAAACACTGGGACTTATGGTGCAAAGATCATCGATGTACCGTTACATAAGGAAACTACAAGATGTACCAATCAAACACCACTAGAGACACAGCTACTCCACTCTATTATTATCACCCTATTATCCAAAAAAGGAAATATGTAATCATTTCAAATCTCATTCTTTATTCTACTTCTCTCTAATCTCTAATCTCCACTTCTCACAACCTTCCTTTCTTCTCTAAACTAATGATTTACTGAATATTTCAAACAAACAATGTATACTCATCAAAAAAAGAAATGTATTGATGACAGTAATGATTACAAAGTCACATTGTTTATTTTGTAAGATGTTTGAATTTTGTAAGATGTTGAATATGCTCATACTGTTATCTATATCCTTTACAAATCTGTAATACATTATTGCCACAATACTGTTAATTGTTGTAAACAATCAAATGACCAATAAAAAAACAATAGTTAAAAAAAACAAAAAACAAAGGGGCCGGGCTGCACAGTGACTTATCACTGTGATAGCCAGATTCTATCACAGCAATCATGTGACCCAGAATCAGGAGTCCCGGGTCCCGATCGTTAGAACAGGAGCCGGGGCTCTCAGAGACACCATGGTCTTTGTGCTGGGAGCATGCAGTGCGGCGCGCTCCCAGCACAAAGACAGGTACTCAAAATATGCAGCCCCACGGAAAAAGCCCAGGTCTGTGAGGTGTCAAGGGGTTAAGGAGGTCAGAGAAGTAAGCACAGGTGGGGTGGGAGGACCATCAGAGAGCAAGATCCCTTATGAGCCCTGAAGCCCCCTCTTATCTCTGGTCCTTGCAGCCTGACAACCCCCATAGAGGCCCCCACAGTCCTTCTGCCCCATTAACCTCTCAGAGTTGTTCAGCCCTATTACTTCCAAAGAGGCTCCATACTCCTGACCCCGGCACTCCATCATTGTGTTGGCTGCATAGTGTAATGATTGCCCATTGGCTGCCTGTGTAGTGTCATCATTGCCCTTTGTAGGCCATGTATGGTCAGGATGGTCCTTGTCTTGTCTATTTATTGTCAGTGCTGTTTGTTTAGAGGACCATATTACTAGAATTTATCTCCACAATGAGGAGAATGTTCCGGCCCCAGAAGTGGGGGATGTTCTGCCCCTGAAGGGGTTCATCTAGAAATAATAAATGTTGGGGCAATGCTTGCACTATGGACAAAATATCTGAATCCTCAAACACGATGGTTCCAATAAAACCTTCTGATAAAGTGTAAGAAAACTCCTGGGGTAACCTGACCGCACTTACTCAGAAAACCCCCCCAGACTGTAGATGACTAGGTGTGCTAGGCTCTGTAGTCCCACAGAGTTCATGGTGTCTGTGAAGCAATAGACACCTCTGTCTGCAGTCTCTGACCATCTCCTGTACTATGTCTTCAGTCTCTGACCATCTCCTGTACTATGTCTGCAGTCTCTCTGACCGTCTCCTGTACTATGTCTGCAGTCTCTGACCGTCTCCTGTACTATGTCTGCAGTCTTCTGACCGTCTCCTGTACTATGTCTGCAGTCTCCGACAGTCTCCTGTAGTATGTCTGCAGTCTCTGACCATCTCCTGTAGTATGTCTGCAGTCTCTGACCATCTCCTGTAGTATGTCTGCAGTCTCTGACCATCTCCTGTACTATGTTTGCAGTCTCTGACCGTCTCCTGTACTATGTCTGCAGTCTCTCACCATCTCCTGTAGTATGTCTGCAGTCTCTGACCATCTCCTGTAGTATGTCTGCAGTCTCTGACCCTCTCCTGTACTATGTCTGCAGTCTCTGTCCATCTCCTGTAGTATGTCTGCAGTCTCTGACCGTCCTCTCTGTACTATGTCTGCAGTCTCTGACCCCGTCTCCTGTAGTATGTCTGCAGTCTCTGACCATCTCCTGTAGTATATTTGCAGTCTCTGACCATCTTCCTGTACTATGTCTGCAGTCTCTGACCGTCTCCTGTAGTATGTCTGCAGTCTCTGACCATCTCCTGTAGTATGTCTGCTGCAGTCTGGACCATCTCCTGTAGTATGTCTGCAGTCTCTGACCATCTCCTGTAGTATGTTTGCAGTCTCTGACCCTCCTCCTGTACTATGTCTGCAGTCTCTGTCCATCTCCTGTAGTATGTCTGCAGTCTCTGACCGTCTCCTGTACTATGTCTGCAGTCTCTGACCGTCTCCTGTAGTATGTCTGCAGTCTCTGACCATCTCCTGTAGTATATTTGCAGTCTCTGACCATCTCCTGTACTATGTCTGCAGTCTCTGACCGTCTCCTGTAGTATGTCTGCAGTCTCTGACCATCTCCTGTAGTATGTCTGCAGTCTCTGACCATCTCCTGTAGTATGTCTGCAGTCTCTGACCATCTCCTGTAGTATGTCTGCAGTCTCTGACCATCTCCTGTAGTATGTCTAGCAGTAAATATAAAGCACAACCCTTTGGTGTGTTGGGGGGCAGTTGAGGCCCCCAGTGTCTCATCAGTTGGCCATCACTGGAGTACAGGGGAGTCAGAACAAGTCCTTTGTGGATAAAGTGGATCCATCACTATGAAGGCCTCCTTCACCAGTCCTGCAGTCTCTTCCTCCATCTATAAAGGGATCCATGGTGGCTCTGGGGTGTCTGGATTTCCAGCTGAATGGAGATTTTACATGGAAGTTCTGCATCACAATGACAAGTCAGGTGATTGGTTTGTGGCTGCGGCTCAGTCCCATTGACTTCAATAGACAGGTATGACAGGCGGTGCCACCTGTGAGACTCGGCATGTGAAGGTAACATTTCCGCACTGTGAAGCTAAGCATGGAGGTCACAGCAATGTGTACTCACCCAATCAGCTGCTTTCTTCATTTAGAGGTAGGTGATCAGGGGGCTGGGTCTGTGACATCATCCTCTTCTAAGCCCCTCCCATCTGACCGTGCCCATTACTCTCCATGGCATGCCGAGCAGAACTTGGTTTTCATGTGTCTGCGTTGGGCTGATTTGTGGTCACCATGGATTGAATTATTAGGTGTAAACCAGGCAGATGGCTTGTTCTGGGGATTGTCAGTGATCACATGTCCTGTTATATGGATTCAATATCCATCGTCTGACATCCTAACAGGAGTTCTGTCATTTTTCAGGATGTCAGGAAAAACATGTCCTCCGTCAGTAAATGTTCATGTTGTGTCAGTAATAAAAAAGTCACGGAGGGTTGGGAACCCTGCAAGGGGGGGCAGAGATATGTGACTGCCTAGTCCAGCCTTTCTCAGCCAGGGTTCCTCCAAAGGGTTCTAGGGCTTCCTTGTCACTTCATTGGGCTCTGTATATGGAAGTGTCAGCGACCAGCCGTTTCTGGATACACAGCTTTGTCATCATTGCACACACACAGGATTTTGTTTTCATTCAATACATTTTTTATTATAATTTCACTTTTAACAAGATTGCAAAAAAATTCAGGAAAAAGTAAAGGCAGAAATCCGATTGGTCAGGAAGATCCCTTGTCTGGAATGTGGGGGCGGAGTCATTATTATTGGTGTACAATACAATACACAACGTGTTCCATTATTATAACAAAGTATTGTAGAAAAGATCCCAACATGTGACATGGCTGAATGAATGCTGGTCATATTAGTCCATCTATTCTCTAAGTGGGGTGGTATCTATTGGGCCAATCCCTTTTACAAACCACACATAATATCGCCCTTCAAAGTGAAAACAGAAACGATTTGCACAAAATCAAAGAGTAGAAATATTTTCTGGTGGATCCCCTCTACCCAGACCCCATATGTAGACATAGAACAACAAGCTGTGTTCCCTCTCGTGCCGCACTCCTCCAACCACCCAAACCCACACAGAAGCCAAGGGAAATAATGAGAGGAAAGTTCCCCCCTAGTTTGGGGCGGAGTTCTCCTTCCCTCCTGTTGGGGGGGGATGGGAGAAGGATGGACTGAAGACAGAGAGACGCTTCGGGGTCACCACTGTTCTGTAGAGCCTTGAAATGAAGGCCCCGTGTGAATCAACTTCAGAAGTTCTTGTTGTCTGTGTAAAGTTCCCCGATAACGAGATCTGGGCTCTCCCGGCTTCTAACTCTGTAACCCCCTATATCATTATCAGGAAACGCAACTCCGACACCCAAGAAGGGCTGAAGTTGTGTCCTTCATTTCCAGGATCTACTGACGACACTCTGCACCCCGACATTTACTGCACTTCATCCATGTCTTTGGGGCCTCTCATCTCCTTATCAACTGTTTCTTCCATGATGAAGATCAGCCATGGAGTATATCTGAGGTGTATATCAGGGTGTGCTTCTTCCCCACATGAGAGCTGGGATGTCCAGCAACATTCATCTAGAAGACATTTCCCACACTCAAGGCAGTAATACACCTCCAGGGTTGTGTGGGGACCCCTCATGTACAGGAAGACAGGACTTCAGTGAGGAACATTTCCCTCACTCAGGACAGGAAAGTGCCTTCTTCCCCGTGTGAGATCTCTGATGTGTGGAAAGATGTGACTTCTGTGAAAAACATTTCCCGCACTCAGGACAGGAATATGGCTTCTCTCCCATATGAGATTTCTGATGTCTAGAAAGACGGGACTTCACTGAAAAACATTTCCCACACTCAGGACAGGAATACAACTTCTCCCCCATGTGAGATCTCTGATGATGTGTGTATAGATGGGACTTGTCTGAAAAACATTTCCCGCACTCAAAACAGGAATAAGGCTTCTCCCCCTGTGAGATCTCTGATGTGTGTAAAGATTACGCTTACGTGAAAAACATTTCCCACACTCAGAACAGCAATACGGCTTCTCCCCTGTGTGAGATCTCTGATGTGTCTGAAGACTGGACTTGTGTGAAAAACATTTCCCACACTCTGGACAGGGATATGGCTTCTCGCCCGTGTGCGATCTCTGATGTATGTAAAGATCGGACTTCCGTGGAAAACATTTCTCACACTCAGGACAGGAATACAGCTTCTCCCCCGTGTGAGATCTCTGATGTGTGTGAACACTGGACTTGTCTGAAAAACATTTCCCACACTCTGGACAGGGATATGGCTTCTTGCCCGTGTGCGATCTCTGATGTCTGGAAAGATCGGACTTCCATGGAAAAACATTTTCCACACTCAGAACAGGAATATGGCTTCTCCCCCGTGTGAGATCTCTGATGTTTGTAAAGATGGGACTTCTGTGAAAAACATTTCCCACACTCAGGACAAGAATGTGGCTTTGTCCCCAATGTGCAATTTCTTATGTCTGTAAAGATTAGACTTATCTGAAAAACACTTCCCGCACTCAGTACAGGAGAAGCTCTTCCCTGTTGGAAGGCCGGCCCGGTCCCGCACAGTCTGAGGTTCCTCAGGATACGAGGAATCTGATGGTCCATCTACACTGGGTGGTGCCGGATGGACATTGGAGGGAGCCGGGTTTTCTCCTGGACTATACTGTGTGATGTCCTCATCTTCTATTTTCCAGTCTGGAGACAAGTGAGACAATCCTCAGAGGTTTTACTCATCTCCCGGCCATGGACTAAAATACAAAGACAAAGAGGATTACTAGACAGGAGCTGATTGGTTCCCCCAAACCAGGACTCCGCCCACATCAGGCAGCTTGGTCTCTGAGGAGCTTACAATTCCACCCTCAAGGGAACTAGGAAATGGCTCCTCTGATCTCCTACCAGGTCATTTCTTTATTCATGGACCTTAGTCAGAGAGTGAGGAAACAACCAGAACTGTCCTTTATAGGAGGGACAGTGATGAGGGGATTATAGGACGAGGGTCCCCACCCCCTCTATCACTCATCACCATCTTCCCAACACAAGAAGTACTGCACTTCCTTATTTAGTCCATGATTTAGTCATGAAGAACAGCGGGCTGAGCCCCACCAGAGGTCAGAGAGTGAGGATGGGGGGAGAACAACCAAGATTGAAGACTGGACTGATCCTGAAGACCACCATCATTGGGGTAAATGACTCCTCCCTCATTATCACTTTCTGTTTAAGGGTCCAAAATTGGAGGATGTTATCACATTATTATCACCATGTAAAAGTCTGTGCTCCAAACATCATCCGATATAAAATGTCCAGCTGGTAGGAAATGGGAGGAACAAAAGAGAATCCATATTATGTGTAAATATAGCAGTGGGGGGAGGGGGAGAGCAGAAGTCAGGACTATGGAATGTACAACATAGAGTATATAGTGCAGGGGTCAGGAGTATGTAATGTTCAACATAGAGTCTATAGTGCAGGGGTCAGGAGTATGTAATGTACAACATGGAGTATATAGTGCAGGGGTCAGGAGTATATAATGTACAACATAGAGTATATAGTGCAGGGGTCAGGAGTATGTAATGTACAACATAGAGTACATAGTGCAGGGGTCAGGAGTATGTAATGTACAACAGCGTATATAGTGCAGGGGTCAGGAGTATGTAATGTACAATATAGAGTATATAGTGCAGGGGTCAGGAGGAAGTAATGTACAATATAGCATATTTAGTACAGGGGTCAGGAGTATGTAATGTACAACATAGAGTATATAGTGCAGGGGGTCAGGAGTATGTAATGTACAACATAGAGTATATAGTGCAGGGGTCAGGAGTATGTAATGTACAACATAGAGTATATAGTGCAGGGGTCAGGAGTATGTAATGTACAACACAGAGTATATAGTGCAGGGGTCAGGAGTATGTAATGTACAACATAAAGAATATAGTGCAGGGGTCAGGAGTATGGAATGTACAACATATAGTATATAGTGCAGGGGTCAGGTGTATGTAATGTACAACATATAGTATTTAGTGCAGGGGTCAGGAGTATGTAATGTACAACATAGAGTATATAGTGCAGGGGTCAGGAGTATGTAATGTACAAGTTATATAGTATCAGGGTCAGGACTCACAGTATTAGTGTTCTGTAATCAGTGGAAGCCTAAATGTTTACTGTAGACAACATGTAGAGGTGAGATGGGATTCAACCATCATGAAACAGGTTAGATTGGAGGTGAGCAAATCCTTGGACAGATGGGTGGCTGTGGACGCGGTATACTTGGACATAGAGGTGGTGGAGGACGTGGTATACTTGGACAGAGCGGTGGCGGGCGGTGGATGTGGTATACATGGTCAAAGGGATGGCCTTGGATCTGGTATACTTGGACAGAGGGGTGGTGGAGGACGTGGTATATACTTGGACAGAGCGTGGGCGGGAGACGTGGTATACTTGGACAGAGGGGTGACGGTGGACGTTGTATACTTGGACAGAGGGGTGGCGGTGGACGTGGTATACTTGGACAGAGGGGTGGAGGTGGACGTGGGTATACTTGGACAGAGGGTGGCGATGGACGTGGTATACTTGGAGAGGGGTGGAGGTGGACATGGTAAAACTTGGACAGAGGGGTGGCGATGGATGTTGTATCTCGGACAGGGGGTTGGCTGTGGACGTGGGAAACTTGGACAGAGGGGTGTCGGTGTGTGGTATACTTGGAACCTAAGGGTGGCTGGAATTCTTAGTGTGGTACGCAAAATTCAGTGTGATTAGTGGTGTTCCCCAAGGTTCAGTGTTATTACTGGGAAACCCCAAGGTTCAGTGTGACAAGTGGGTAACCTAAGGTTCAGTGAATTTTTGTGGGGTACCCCATGATTCAGTGTGATTAGTGGTGTACCCCAAGATTCAGTGTTATTAGTGGTGTACACCAAGGTTCAATGTGATTCAGTGGGGCACCCCAGGGTTCAGTGTAATTAGTGGGGTACCCCAAGGTTCAGTGTGATTAGTGAGGCACCCCAGGGTTCAGTGTTATTAGTGGGGTACCCCACGGTTCAGTGTTATTAAGTGGGGGACGCCAAGGTTCAGTATTATTAGTGGGGTACCCCAAGGTTCAATGTGATTAGTGGGGCACCCCAGGGTTCAGTGTTATTAGTGGGGTACCCCAAGGTTCAGTGTTATTAGTGGGGTACCCCAGGGTTCAGTGTTATTAGTGGGGTACCCCATGATTCAGTGTTATTAGTGGGGTACCCCAAGGTTTAGTTTTAATAGTGGGGTACCCCAGGGTTCAGTGTTAATAGTGGGGTACCCCAAGGTTCAGTGTTATTAGTGGGGTACCCCAAGGTTCAGTGTTATTAGTGGGGTACACCAGGGTTCAGTGTTATTAGTGGGGTACCCCAGGGTTCAGTGTTATTAGTGGGGTACCCCAAGGTTCAGTGTTATTAGTGGGTACCCCAGGATTCAGTATTATTAGTGGGGTACCCCAAGGTTCAGTGTTGGGACTCTTACTTATTAATATATATATAAACAATATGGGGTGTGAGATTATAAATCCCATTCCAGTCTTTGCAGATGACACCAAGCTGTGCCGGGGAATAACGTCCTTACAGGAT